TCCTAAAGACCAAGGCTCGCTGGGTCCTCCGAAGCTTCCAAGACAAGCAGAAGAACGATCAGCAGACAGACAGTCCTGCTGCATCCAGGGGTGGCTTCCGCCTTGCAATCCAAGCAGCCGCAAATAAGGGCTGAATATATTCCACATGGATTTGAAGACAGCATTCCTCCGCGAGCGAGACTGGCGTGGTGGACGCTTGTGACCTGGGGAAACCGCCCGCGAGCGAGACTGGCGCGGTGGAGAGCGAGACTGGCGCGGTGGACGCTCGTGACATGTGGAAGCCGCCCGGGAGCGAGACTGGCGCGGTGGACGCTTGTGGCGCGGTGGACGCTCGTGAAATGCGGAAACCGCCCGCGAGCGAGACTGGCGCGGGGAACGCTCGTGACGTGCGGAAGCCGCCCGCGAGCGAGACTGGCGCGGTGGACGCTCGTGACATGCGGAAACCGCCCGCGAGCGAGACTGGCGCGGTGGACGCTCGTGACATGCGGAAACCGCCCGCGAGCGAGACTGGCGCGGTGGACGCTCGTGACAGGCGGAATCTGCCCGCAAGCGAGACTGGCGCGGTGGACGTGACAGGCGGAAACCGCCCGCGAGCGAGTGACAGGCGGAAGCCGCCTGCGAGCGACACTGGCGCGGTGGACGCTCGTGACATGGGGAAACCGCCCGCGAGGGAGACTGGCGCGGTGGACGCTCGTGACGAGCGAGACTGGCGCGGTGGTGGACGCTTGTGACATGCGGAAAACGCCCGCGAGCGAGAAAGGCGCGGACGGGAATCGCCCGCGAGCGAGACTGGCGCGGGACGCTCGTGACATGCGGAAACCGCCCGCAAGCGAGACTGGCGCGGTGGACGCTCGTGACATACGGAAACCGCCCGCGTTCGAGACTGGCGCGGTGGACGCTCGTGACATGCGGACACCGCCCGCGAGCGAGACTGGCGTGGTGGACGCTCGTGACATGCGGAAACCGCCCGCAAGCGAGACTGGCGCGGTGGACGCTCGTGACATGCGGAAACCGCCCGTGGGCGAGACTTGCGCGGTGGACGCTCGTGACATGCGGAAACCGCCCGCGAGCGAGACTGGCGCGGTGGACGCTCGTGACATGCGGAAACTGCCCATGAGCGAGACTGGCGCGGTGGACGCTCGTGACATGCGGAAACCGCCCGTGAGCTCGTGACACGCAGAAATCGCGAGCGAGACTGGCGCGGTGGACGCTCGTGACATGCGGAAACCGCCCGCGAGCGAGACTGGCGCGGGGGACGCTCGTGACATGCGGAAACCGCCCGCGAGCGAGACTGGTGCGGTGGACGCTCGTGACATGCGGAAACCGCCCGCGAGCGAGACTGGCGCGGTGCGACACGCGGAAACCGCCCGCGAGCAAGACTGGCGCGGTGGATGCTCGTGACACGCGGAAACCGACCGCGAGCGAGACTGGCGCGGTGGACGCTCGTGACAGGCGGAAACAGCGAGACTGGCGCGGTGGACGCTCGTGACATGCGGAAACCGCCCGCGAGCGAGACTGGCGCGGCGGACGCTTGTGACAGGCGGAAACTGCCCGCGAGCGAGACTGGCGCGGTGAATGCTCGTGACATGCGGAAACCGCCCGCGAGCGAGACTGGCGCGGTGGACGCTCGTGACATGCGGAAACCGCCCGCGAGCGAGACTGGCGCGGGCTCGTGACATGCGGAAACGCCCGCGAGCGAGACTGGCGCGGTGGACGCTCGTGACATGCGCAAACCGCCCGCGAGCGAGACTGGCGCGGTGGACGCTCGTGACATGCGGAAACGCCCGCGAGCGAGACTGGCGCGGTGGACGCTCGCGACAGGCAGAAACCTCCCGCGAGCGAGACTGGCGCGGTGGACGCTTGTGACATGCGGAAACTGCCCGCGAGCGAGACTGGCGCGGTGGACGCTCGTGACATGCGGAAACCGCCCGCGAGCGAGACTGGCGCGGTGGACGCTCGTGACATGCGGAAACCGCCCGCGAGCGAGACTGGCGCGGTGGACGCTCGACATGCGGAAACCGCCCGCGAGCGAGACTGGCGCGGTGGACGCTCGACATGCGGAAACCGCCCGCGAGGGAGACTGGCGCGGTGGACGCTCGTGACATGCCCGCGAGCGAGACTGGCGCGGTGGACGCTCGTGACATGCGGCAACCGACGTGCGCGGCTCCGTGTGAACAGCCCGGCGCTCCAGGTACGCCACAATTGTCTTTTTTGCCGCACACCTGACCCGAACAAACGGTGCCAATGTGTTTCCTAGGACGAACCCTCTCTTCAGAAGCTGTAGCCTCTTGGGGTTCGCCCTACTTGTTTGGAAGCAGCCTGGAAGCACGTTGACACGAACATGCTGAGCACACTCGGCCCAAACAAAAGGGCGCATGAACATCCACAGCTGACAAGTGACCGAGGCTTGTCCACACCGAGCCCCCCGCAAAAGCGCAGCCCGTCTCTCCACACCTGCGGCGAATCCACCCAACTTGCCATCCACACGTATCCAATTGACAACGTGCGGGCCCTTTCCACAAAGTCACCAGTTCCAATTGGTTGCGAATGGAAAAATAAGTGGAGAAACTAACGAATCCAAGCAAGCTTACGAAGCAAGTTTGTGAAGGCCACGTGCACGGCTCCATGTGAACAGCCCGGCGTTCCAGGTGCGCCAAAATTGTCATTTTTGCCGCACACCTGACCCGAACAAATGGCGCCAATGTGTTTCTAGGACAAACCCTCTCTTCAGGAAGCTGTAGCCTCTTGGGGTTCGCCCTACTTATTTGGAAGCAGCCTGGAAGCACGTTGACATGAATATGCTGAGCACACTCGGCCCAAACAAAAGGGCGCATGAACATCCGAACAGCTGACCCCGGTCTACGCAGATCTTGGTAACACTGTGTCTCAGACTTGTTTCACACCGAGCCCCCCGCAAAAGCGCAGCGCCGGCCCCGTCTCCACACACCTGCGGCGAATCCACCCAACTTGCCATCCACACGCATCCAATTGACAACGTGCGCGGCCCTTTCCACAAAGTCACCAGTTGCAATTGGTTGCGAATGGGAAAATAGGTGGAGAAACTCGACTTGAAAGAAGCAATCTACCCCCACCCCCTTATCAAGGGGGCTAAGCTTCAACCAAAGCAGAAGGTCAACTTGCAACAAGCCACGCTCAAAGCCGCGAGCTGCCAAGGACTTGAAGGAGCATTCTCAGGAGCTAGCTGGTCAGCAGGTCGCAGCAACTCACTTCTTTGAGTGCTGCAAAGCAATTGGCAACAGCCCGGCGTTCCAGGTGCGCCAAGATTGTCCTTTTTGCTGCACACCTGACCCGAACAAATGGCGCCAATGTGTTTCTAGGACTGAAGAGTCTGTGGCCTCTTGGGGTTCGCCCTACTTATTTGGAAGCAGCCTGGAAGCACGTTGACATGAATATGCTGAGCACACTCGGCCCAAACAAAAGGGCGCATGAACATCCGAACAGCTGACCCCGGTCTACTCAGATCGTGTTGTAACACTGTGTCTCAGACTTGTTTCAGATTGGTGTAGAGCGAGCTTATGCCTTGCTTCCAATTTGGGAGTGGTAGTTTGTGCGGATCCTTTTTCGGATTTCTGCGATTGGTTCTTCATGATGAATCGGATGACTTCCTGCCTTCCATGTAGTGCGGGGCCTGTCATGTTTCACCTGTGCCTTTGCCTTTTTCTTTGTGCTTGGTCAGAGCACAGGCTGCTGGCTGCCAATCCGGCTTGAGTCGCGGTTGCTCCCCTTCTTCATCTGTTTTGGGGTTGATTTCCCAACTGTGAACAACTTAAATCTTGGTTCGCCTTCGGACCCTTGAGCCGGAAAACAACGGGATCCACATGCCATGGGGAGTGAGGCTGGTTTGCTTTTGGGTTCCCGGGCTCCTCTTGTTTTCTGTGTAACACCTACCCTTTTTGCTTTTCAGAAGAGTGAACAATTTTGAGATGTTTGTTCTGTATTCACTCCCCTTTGATTAATCGCTATCTAACATTAGCCGACGGACAAATTCTCATCGGTTTGTGGCAATTTGTATTGCCGGGTATTCATGGAAGGAACAAATATAACAACTTGACGAGAAACTGGGAATCCCCAAATGGCCCCAAGACTCTGTGCTTCGAGGTTCTTCCCTGAAGTGTGGTTGTTGGGCGTGTTTAAGAACTTATCAGGGCATTCTTTTTCGGTGAGGTGCCAAGGATACCTCCTCAAGAGTTGGGGAAGCCAAGGTTTGCCTGTTTGGGAGCCCATTTCTTCTCATGACTCATGAGACGCCCCCAACCGCTCATTCCTGATCAGCTCAGTGCAGGTAGGCAGGTAGCTACTCAGCTATTCGACAACCCGCAAAGGGGTGAGATCCTCCAAGAGATTGCTCTGAAAATGAGGTTTTCAGTTTGATCCATTACTTACCTGGATGGACTATCCAAATATTAGATTCTGTCCGAGCCCCACAGGCTGCATATCTGTTTGGAACCATGAATGCGGCTTGTGGAGACTCACCGCCGCTTGATTCGATTAAACATAGGCTAACCGTTCCTTATATCGTATTTGGCGGGCTCCAACACGAGGACATACGAGAACGCTGGTTCCATGTATGCCTCAGGGGTTGGCGCGGGCTGTTGGCGTCCTGTCCTGTCCGAGCTTCTTGCTTCCCGTCTAGAAGCAGGCTTCAAGCAGAAGGTGTCAAGCAAGTGTTTCATAGCATTGTTTAAGTGGGTCTGAAGCACCCTGAATTACGCTTAAGAAGGTTTCCTTTTCGTTTGCATTCGTCGCCATCCAAAAAGGGGCCCCCTATGTTCATCAATATTTGTTTAGGCTGCTACTTTTCCTCCGCTGAATTGCTGAGGATATTTCCAAAAACGCATCCCTGGTATGTATGAAGCACTGTTTTTTTGACTAACCCACTCATTGCAGCTTCATTGCGGGAGACCAGGCACTCCATGAGCTCAAATGGGATTCTACCTCGGGGGGTGAGGGGGGTTCTCTGTTCGGAAGGCCCATGTTTTTGCCACACATTCTCCCATTGACCAAGGAGCACATGGGAGTCGATTTCCCCACCATTTTCACAGTGAAGAGCGAATTGGCGGCTTTGATCCGGGCCTGGGGCTACTTTGATCGCAGCCATGTCTGCTCAGCCGGGAGTTCTTGCGCCTCGCCGAGCTTGGCCGGTACACGATTGAACATGGAATCCATGTCCGGGCTCACAAAAACCGACCCGGTTGCTCACGACTATTCCGCTAAGACTTTTCGGCAAACACAAGCATCTTGACACCAGCAGAGGGGTGTCTTTTGTTGAGGGTACCATTTTTGGTTTCAAGAGAAATCAAAAGGCAACCATCCATTTTTTTGGGGGCCCCCAAAAAGAACATGACACAAGTAGAAGGCGCGGGAGACCAGGGCCTCTAGCATCGCGAAGGGCCCCAGGAAGTTGCCGTATCGCTGGCGCGCCGCCCAACACGCGCAGTGCTCCTCTGTGGAGGGGCAGCTCCTGGGGAAGGAGTCGCTGTTGTTGAAGAAGTGTGCTTTTTCCTTAGCCGAAGTGGTGGACCACTGGGCCCATTCCGTAGGCCAACAGGATGTCATCTTCCCCGCAATTGGCGGTTTGGGTTAGTAATGCAAACCACCATTCCAAGTTGACCTGAGTCAGGAACTGAAGAACCTTTCACTCGTTTTCCGTCCAATCGGTGTCAGAAGCGCAGAAGCACAGTGCGTGGCAAGCCGTAGTAGCAACCAAGGGAAACCACGGTTTTCAATCTGAACGGTATTACAACTGACCTGCTGCAACTAGCAGCCCCAACTTGAGTCGAGGCGCTGCTTGGAGACGGCTTCGCAGTTTCGCCACGAGGTCCGGGCGTGCGTGGAACTGGTTGCGCTGCTCCGTGGGGTCAGAGACCACGTCGAACAAACACCCGTCCTGGAGGCTTTAAATGGGGGGGTTCACAAAAATAAAAAAAATAAAAAAGAAACAACAGCACCGTTAGCAACTGTTTTTCTTATGTCCAAATCCCAAGTAAGTACTGTCCAAAAAGCAGCGGTCGAAAAATCTCAAAAAGGATGGCAAAAAGGAAAGCCCGCCCAAGAATGGCGTTCCTATTCGGACAACTAAAGTGGGTGTTCCTTTGGTGCCCGCGCGCAGCGCAAAAATCGGAGCGCGTTTCTTGGAGATCTTTTGACAGTTCCCACTTGGTGTCTCTCCTTGCGTCCACTGCACAAGCGAGTCACAATCAGTAGAATGGTCTACCAGAACCATACAAAGAACTGAACAGGCGGCCGCACCCATTCACAGTATGGCTGGGATTGTCCCTTATTACCCTCCAGTTACCCGGGTTTAACAACCTATCCCGCTGTGGTGCTCCTATTTTTGCTTCTTGCTATCGGGGAATCTATAGGTAAGTCGACACCCCACCCGTCCCGTCCGGCCTGGCAAGCTCCGATTCTAGGCTCCACAGAGCTGCTGTTGGGATATTTCGGGCCCTGCCAGAAGCTCGGGTACTGAAGCCCGTCCAGCAGCTTCCACTGACCCCAGAGCCTACGGGTTCGCTCTGTCTAGGAAGCAAACATACGGCCATACGGGTGACTTGGGCGCTCGAAGCAAACATGTTTTGCTTCAAGGGAATGAATGTGGGTTTCCTGGTGTGTTCCATGGGCTCCTTGCTCGCTTCTCAGCTCAAAACCCACAAGATTCCTGCACTAAAAGCGACCCATGCGCACGCCATCTATGTTTTGCAAATAGGGAACGCCCCGCTATTTCGTCCTGGTCACCGGTCACCAACTTCCTCTGAAAATAGTCTTGTCCAATTTCTTGAACCATGACCCAGCAAAGGACGCAAGGGCGATACTAGGGTCCAAACATTTCGAAACAAACCCCTTGTTTCCCATTCAGGGGAGAAAAACTACTTCCTGCGGCCACAGGAGCGCGCGCACAACAGCCAAGCCCGGGCTTGCCGCAACGCGCACAAAACGATGCCAAATCGCAGGGAAGCGGGAGAAAAAAAGAAAGAAAACAATTGGCAATCACAGCCACAGCCACAAACACAAGCAAACCACGCCGGAAACACTGCCCTGGAAGAAAACATGGGCTGTTGCCAGAGGCAAGTTGGACAGAAACGACACCAGTACACGAGCACAACACCCTCGCAACGTATTCCCCCTCCCAAACAAACCACAGTAGGCAACCCATCAGGAGTTTCCCATTGCCCAACAAAAAACAAACAACACGTGAACACAACATAAGCAAGCACAAACAAAGACACGCGCGCGCACACACACACACGGAAACAAAAAGAAAGAACATATGGGTTTGTCTCAAAATAAGAGGACCCCAAAATGGCTTCCCTTGAAATGTACCCTCGAAAAGACGCAACCCTATATTCCACAGCTGCCAAGTCTCAAACTGGTGGGTCCCAGGGGTAGGACGTCTCTGGGAGACTCCGGCACTTCACCTGCAGACAGCCCACTCCCTCCATGGATCTGAAGTGAATCATCCAAACCTTGTATTCAAGGGGATGAAAAAATAAGGCTTGTTTGTCAAAATCAAAAAAAGATGACACCCAAAGAGAAGGCCGAAAAGGGGACCCACACGAATACACGAAGGGCTTTTGAAACAAAAGGTAGAGGAGAAACCAACGGAATCCTTTTCGTACATTTCGAACAAAAACTAACCTCCTTGGTGAGCCAAGGGAAGGCTTAATTAAGGATTGCCTTTGAACAGCCAGGAGAGGGGAAACCATGGTTTGCTTTTTGGTTTCCATGTCAAACAAACCAAAAAGGGCACATGGATACCCAGAGGACACCCAGGGTTGTATTTCCTAACCTCCTGTTCGGCTTGTCTCTTCTGTAAGGGCACCCCTTTTGGGGTCGGTTTAAAGGGAAACCAAAGGGATCTTTCGGGGCTATAGGTAAAACAAAAACACAAACCCAACTTAAACTCAGAAGGGGGGGTCGTAGATCTTCCTGTCCACGCCCAGAAAGTATGAAGTCGATAGTTCACCCAAGTCGCAGGTAGGAAACCAACCCTTGCACAAAAAACCCCAGCAACTCGAGCGGGCTTACAGATCGAAGTCGCCCACGAGGAAAGGCCACACATCCAGCGAGTCGATCTTCGGCAAGCCCGCGTTCGCCGCGCGAAAATCGGTGGGGTCCACCTGGGCCATTTTGCTCAGCGTGGCGTACCAGTCGGCGATATGGATCCTAAGCTCCACGCGCGTCAACTCCTTATAGTAGGGCTCCGGCAACAGTTAAAATTCAACTCTAACTACCTGGAACCTGAAACCCTCAAAATTATGGGGCGGCATGTTTTTTAAAAGGGAATTGTGAGGGTCCAGGTACATTGGTTGGTCCATTCAAACCCTTTGATGACCACCTCTACCAACCTGATGGTTGGGCTGCATGGGTCGGTCTCATAGAGCCCAACCAAAAGAAACCGGAGGAACTTGCGATTTTAGGGCTGGAGGTACTCTTTTCTCATCGGCTTCAAAAAGACACCAAGGGGAAAAGACCATGGGGAGTCCCGATTCAAAGAGAAACCCGTATTACGCATGTTCCCCCTTTTCCATCCATTGAAAGGAAACAACCAAAAGCCCAGGCTTCAACATCACCGCCCAAACGCTGATGCCAACAAAAGCCAGCAAAAACCAGCAACGGGATACACTGGGATCCTTGTCAGGACTCTCCTCAAAATGACATGGTTTTACGTGCATGGACCCTTTGACAGATTCGATTCTGGGTCGGCTGGGCTGGAAATGGGGCATCAACCCAAAGTGTCCTTTGTTACTACTCATTAATCGGGGAAAAACACGCGCAAACCAAATGGTGCTTGGCTTGCTGGTCTAGATGAAAAGGGTACGACCTCAAAAAGAATGGGCAAAAATCGCATGTTAAGGCCAGGATCATGCCACTGTTGCTGGTGCCGCGAAGCTGCGAAGGAACGTATCCTCAGGCTGCGGCTGCGCAAACTGGTTTCTGCAAAGGGTTAAGAGGCGTTGCCCAACAGAGCCAGAAAACACACACACACACACACACCACACCTTCAACTCCTTCTTTGCTACAAGAAGGAAGTTGTGATTTGTCAGCACTTGGTTGTCTGCCCTTGTCTCACGACAAGAAGATGACTTGAATCACACTCTTTTGGGCCACCATGCGGGTGTATCCTTTTTTGAGCGACCCCCAAAGTTGCTTTTCTCAGAGAAACCTGAAGGACACCATTTTCAGGGTTCCCTCTAAAAAGAGGTACGCCCGTGGACAACACACGGGCAAAGGTCGGAAAGGGGTCTGCTTCCATGTGGACATCAATTAGGTGTCCACCACCCACTTTTGAGGCCCTATTCAACTCACAGCCATGCGTGTTGTTGATGTCGATTTTCTCGTCCTGATGATTTACCTTTACGACCAACAATAAACATAACCAACATTCACTACAACATGTCACATTCAGTCGGTGGCCTAGAACAGTGACAGGGAAAATTTGCCTTGAGCAAACAGGTGTATGACCAAACATGATCATGCAACATTTAAGACCAACAGGGCTACACAAGCGGCCAACAACGGGTACTGCTCCAGCCCATCTCTTGGAATCCATAACCTGGTTCCTGGAATCGCACATCCTAAACGGCCCCCAAATGATCCTGTCGCTCAGTTGAAACGAACATCCTGCGCGCCACTCAATCTGCACTGATACTACTGCCTTTCGGCCTCAATAACGAGGAGAAGCCACCACGTAGGTAAATGTGCCCACATATCGGCCAGGCTGGGATCGTGGATTGCTTGCAAAGGCCAACCCCCTCCTAGTTGCAAGCCATGGTATTGTGGATGGACAAATTCCATGTTGCAGTTGGAATTGGCGGTTTATCAACCAGGATTCAAGTCGGTCAACTGATCAACCGGTGCAGTTTTATTTCCCTCCACAGTATTGTGGAAGCTTACAACATCCAACATGTCACGTCACACCAGTTGGCAGATCAAAATACAGGTTGATGAACACCGAACCAACTGGCGCAATGGACCTTGTCCATCCACATTAGGTTGTAAGTTGGAGATTCCGATCTTAGTTTGTATATGGGGTGGTTTCCCTTGATTTCGTATGATGGCTTGCCTCAAAGCAAAGAACCCTGTCTTTTGAGCCCAGATTCAAAATGCAGGCGCTCCAGAATGTGTGTGCAACCAACCCTCTTTCAGGGTGCTCGTGTCATCTCCGATTTGCGTGCTTGTGGGTCATCCCTTCAAAATAGGGGGACGCTAACAACCCAAAATTGGTGTGAAGGGAAAGCCCCCCAGAAAGGAAAAGGGCATCACTGGTCTAGGTTGAACAAACCCAAGAGCACTCACGCCCAAACCCACCACGCGCGGCACCGAGGCTCCGCCAGCTACGAAGGCCGGCACGCGAATGCCGCCTTCGAAGAAGCCGTACTTCCCGCCCCGCAGGGGCCAGTTGGAGGCCGCATTCTCCGGGAGATGGACCGGGCCCCCGTTGTCGGAGGAGAGGATCATGAGAGTGTTCCTGGAACCGAAGTGTGCCAAACTCGGAACCCCCAAAAATGGCCGGTTTCCCTTCGCCTCCCATGACAAAGGATACATGAGTATGTCTTTTTTAGGATTCGGACCCTCTGAAATGGGGGTGTTCCTCTTGGTTTCCCTTGAAATCCAAACAGAGGATCCGCTGGAAGGACATCAGCCATTTTAGGGGGATCACCATCTTGAGACACCCCATATTTTCCCAGGCTTGATGTGGGGATATCACCAGGGCGTTCCTTTCCACCCCGGCGAGTCCTTGCAAAACGAAACAACAAAACAAACAATCGCAGCACCCTTGGTGCTTGCACGCCCAGAAGGACACCGAGCCCGACGCGCAAGCAAGATTCTCCCACATGTTCTTGGACTTCAGGGCGCCGGTGATGTTGCCAACTACCTCGCTGCAGAAAAGACAAACTCCACTCCACTGATTTCGCAACACGGGTATGTGTCAAAATAGGGAGGCACCCAAATCTGGTGGTTCTCCCCGTTCGCCCCCTCTAAATTTTACAGCTTCCACGCTTGCAAAGCGCTGTACATATATAATTATATGTTTATAATACGCACACCTATATGCTGACCAACGGAGATGTGGTGCCCGTTTTCTTTGTCTAAGGAATGGTTCTGGGAAGCGGCTGCCCTCGCATTTGTCCTGTTCTCAACGCCCATTGGCTTGTGTTTTGGATACGCTCCTGCACCAACTGGGTTGTGTGGGGGTGGCTCTGTTTGTTGTTCTTCTGTCCTGCTGTTTGGCCCAAACAGCAAGGGTTGAAAGTGATTTGGGTGTCACTTTTGAGTGGTTGGACCCTCTGGTGGACTTGGTGGGGATTGTCCACGTGGAAGGGTATTCCTCACAAACAGTATGCTTACACATTCTTGAGTCACAGCCTCGTCCATGATCATGATCATGGCCGCATACTGCTGACGGCATTTGTACTCCAAGTTCGGGTGAGCTGGGTCGATGGGGTGCAGCTCTTTCACCGTTTGCCGGCTACCTGCCCAGTATATTCCAATGGGAAGACAACTGGCCAAACTAGGGCCCCTGCAAAACGTTTACCTTTTCTTGGTCAAAAGGAGACATGAATCAGGGCAACCCAACTGGGCAAAAGGGCGAACAGGACAGCCAAGTCTGGCCATGAACAAAGGCGGTACTACCCTCCCCCACTTTTGTTGGATGTTCAAGGGAAGCCCCAGCCCCCAAAAGAACGAAGGGTGCCACTGGGTCAGGATACAAGTGCTCTCATCGTCCGTCATGAAGTTGAACTTGTCATAATATGCTCGAGGCACTTGCAACGGTTCATGTGCCACATGAGGTGCGTAGAATAAGAACAAAGGCACAGCCGGATCATGTCGCTCCACGATCCCGACCAACTCCTGAAGAGGTCACCGGGAAATGAAACTGAGATTGTTGGTAGGTCCAATACAAATGCTACCTTTGGGAATCAAAACAAGGGAAATTGAGGCATGCCTGTCCTTTTGATACAAAAACTCGGAGTAGTCGGTGCTATTGGCATCCGATGCACCACGATCAGTTCGCCAGAAATCAATGATAGATTGATCCTCCTCGCAACATGTCTGAATGTTGGATTGGCTGTAGAAGTCGTTCTTGTGGCCAAAAAAGTTCAAGCTGGTGTCGTAACCCCGGCCATGGGGTGTATGCGCGGGAGTCGCCATACCAGCATCCCACTTGCCTGCAAAATGGGTCTTGTACCCTCCTTGCCTCAGAAGCCCAGTGGCCACAAGCCAAACAAACTTGTTTTGTTGGCTGATTTTAAAGGGAACCCCTTCCCCGAAAAAGGAAACACAGGTGCTGTTGGGTTGCTTCATCTTCTCAGCCAGCCCAGTCATGTTGTACGGGATGCCCGTGTTGTCATTACACACATCCCACACTACTGAGTTGACGTGCACTGGCAAGCGCCCGGACTGCACAGAAGTGCGGCTGGGCGTACAGGCCTTGTGCACATAGTGCCGCTTCAAATGGATGCCGCTCGCCACCAAACTGTCCTGGGTGGTGAACACAGGGAGACTAAACGACATGAACCATGCCCTGCAGAACTGACCCAAGAACAGCTTTTGACCATGTTCCAACCGCAAGTACTTTGTGCAAAGCCGGCATGTTTCCTGATACTTTAAACATGGGGTTCTTTAGCAGCTGCTTTAGCACCTAGCATCCAAATTGGGAGTGACCACTTCAGGATTGGCCTCCTCCAAGTTGAAACCGACATTGGCCCAGCCAAGGTCATCCACCAACACGAAGAGGATGTGTGGCTTCGCCAAAGCCAGCAGCACGTTGGACAAGATCAACAACCGCGTCAAGCTGCGCATGTGTTTGCTGATATGCACAAACCAAGCGCAACATAAAGCTAAGGTATAGCGGTTTACAGAGACTTGACATATTAGCCATTTTTGGGGTAGATGCACATCTCAAGACAGTGTTGCCGACGGCTGCTCGGAATCCAAAATATCCAGCCAAAAGCATGGCTTGTAGTGTCAAGACAGTGTGTCCAACATGTGTGCATTTTTTAAGTGCAAATTTGATGGCTGTCCAACGACAACTGATTTCATGTCCAAAGTCGTGTCTGTGTTCTCGATGCTGCGTTGTTCAGAGATGTTGGTCAGTTATTGCAAACTGTGAATCTGTCAACCAAGTGGGTTCGGTGGCCTTCGTCGCTTGAGATGTCACGACCGCCCATCAAACCGTGGCGATTGCCAAACAAATGCAAATGTCACCAAAAGGCTTCCCCA